ACGGGTCAGCAGTAGAAGGAGCAAACCCAAGAGCCGCAAGAGTCGTCCTCAGTGTGTCGTGCCACTCGCGAGGCGCGTGGCAGGGACCGTAGACTGGCAGCCGGAGGCTCCAGTGAGTACCTGCAAGAAACGACCCAGTAAAACCAGGTGGGCGGCGCAGCCATATCTCCTCGTGCAGGCTGCCTTATAAGAAAGCTGTGCTGAAGTCAAGAGACTGAAGCTTGTAGTCAAGCTCAGCGGCGACGTGCAGCATCACCCGAAGAGTGGTCATCTTCGGGGTAGGGGAGAAGTTCTAGAAGAAGTCAACTCCCTATCGCTGACTGAAGCCTCATGAAATGTAACGTGCCTTGAAGACAGGCTGAGAACCCGGCGGCCGCTTCACCCTGAAAATCCACATGCCATCGACGATATTCGCCCCAGGTGGGGGAACCTCGTCGACGTAAGTGCCGGTGGACTTCCAAGCTGCCATCTCAGCGTCCATGGCTGACTGCCACTGAGACTCCTAGGGACCCTCTATCGCCTCTCCGTAAGAGCGAGAGGTCAAGATGTTTGGAGCATCCGGGTCTCCCTCACATGCAATCAGCATGGACACGAGATGAGGTACAGCAGCTGCAAAGCACTCAAAGTCCTCCTGCCTGTCCTCAAGGACGTCCGTGCCAAGAGCACCTTCACCCCCGACGGACGGAGGACAAACAGACTCAGACTCAGCAACAAGACTTGCAGCGTAGTCTAGACGACAGCGAGCAGCAATGTCGACAAGCTCAGCAACTAAGGCAGATGCAGCAGTTGACTCAAAGGGATGATAAGAAACGAGGAATGAATGCATTGAGCAGAATGAGGAGTACAAGTAGTAAACCCTAAAGTGTTGTACCCCATATGAACTGCCCCACTACAGCCTACAAAGACTATAGCATATGTGCCTGACACACCCCCATAGGCAAAGTGGGGGAGAACAAGCGGTCACAAGACAAGTCAAGCAAAGCAAAGCAAGCTCAGGGTGGATCACAACGTCACCACACAGTCCGAGCACAAGAGCAAGGCCACAAGGCCAGTTCACATGCAAGATCATATATATAAAGGTAAACAAGCAAGTGCAGGTATAGAAAGAGTACAGTACAAAAAAGGTCAAGAAGTGAGCGAGTGAGGCCACGTAGGCACAAGACCTAGCATAGCACAGAAGCGCTGATGATCACAAGGTGGAAGGGCCTTGGTAAAGATATCAGCAGTGTTGGCCTCAGAGGCCACGTAGGTGAGGCGGAGCTGACCACGCTGCTGCAGCTCACGAGCCAGGAAGTAGCGAAGAGCAATGTACTTTGTTCTGTGCTCCAGTCTGTGCTCCCAACACAAGGCCAGCATGGCCTTGTTGTCTACTTACAGAACTAGAGGAGAACGAGGCGGCTCTCCTAGGTCAGTCAGCAGGTAGGTGAGCCAGCGTAGCTCCTGTACAGCCATGGCCCCCGCGTAGATCTCAGCCTCACAGCTGGAGGTGAGAACAGAAGCCAAGCGGGTAGACCGCCACGAAACAAAGCCGGAGCCAAGGGTGAAGGTGTAACCCTGTGACGACCGCTGTGTCGGCTGGTCGTCAGCCCAAGAAGCGTCTGCATGACCTGTGAGGACCACTTGACGTCGCCCTCCAAGCACTAGCCCCATGCCCGACGTACTGCACAAGTAGCGCAACACCCTCTTTGCTGCAGCCATGTGCTCTGGTCGGTGTCTCCCAGAAGCAACATAGCGTGCCAAGATGCTAAGAGGGTATGCAAGGTCAGGTCGTGTGTTGGTCATCAGGTACATGAGGCAGCCAACAAGCTCTGCATACGGGCCACTCGGCTCTACGGACTCATCCGAAGGCAGAGCTGAGAGCGAGTGGCGAGTAGACAAAGGAGTAGCCTGAGGCGAGGAGTACGCGAAGCCGAAGCGCTGAAGGACCTGCTGCACCATGTGTGACTGAGTCAGGATAATGGTGCGCTGTGCTCTGTCTCGGGTGATCTGCAAGCCAAGGTAGCTGCGCAGTTCACCCAGGTCTGTGCATGTGTGTCTCTTTTGCAGCTCGGACTTCACGTGGGCGAGTCCAGCAGTGTCAGCAGTGGCAAAGACCAAGTCGTCGACGTACACGAGGATGTAGAACGGCGGCAGAGAGGTGTCAGTGCGCAGAAACAGCGACGGGTCGGCTGTACAAGGAGCAAACCCAAGAGCCGCAAGTGTAGTCGTCAGTGTGTCGTGCCACTCACAGGGCGCCTGGCGGAGACCGTAGACTGGCCGCCGGAGGCTCCACTGGGTGCCAGGAGGAAACGACCCAGTGAAGCCAGGTGGGCGGCGCAGCCAGATCTCCTCGTGCAGGCTGCCCTGCAGGAAAGCAGTGCTAAAGTCAAGAGAGTGAAGCTCGTAGTCGCGCTGAGCGGCTATGTGCAGCAGCACCCAAAGAGTGGTCATCTTCGAGGTGGGAGAGAGGGTCTGAAAGTAGTCTACTCAAAGCCACTGATTGAAGCCTCGAGCCACGTAACACACCTTGAAGACAGGCGGAGAACCCGGCGGCCGCTTCACCCTGAAAATCCACATGCCACTGACGATGTTCGCCCCAGGCGGGGGAACCTTGTCGACGTAGGTGCCTGTGGACTTCTAGGAAGCCATCTCTGCATCCATGGCTGACTGCCACTAAGAGGACTGAGGACCCTCGATCGCCTCAGCGTACGATCGAGGAGTCCGGATGTCTGGTGCATCCGAGTCTCCCTCACGGGCAATCAGCGTGGACACAAGATGAGGCAAAGCAGCAGCAAAACGCTGGAACTCCTCCTGCCTGTCCTCAAGGACGTCCGCGCTAAGAGCACACCCACCCCCGACGGTCGGAGGACAGACAGACTCGAACTCAGCAACAAGACTATTGGCGTAGTCTAGACGACAGCGAACAGCGAAGTCGACAAGCTCAGCCACTAAGGCAGACGCAGCAGTGGACTCAAAGGAAGGGTCAGTGACAACAGTGGCCAGGAGACGCGTGACAGTAGGACTGGCAACACGAAGAGAGTTTGACTCCGGGTCAGGAAGGACAGGAAGAGAGGACTCTGGAGGAGACGGCAACAGGACATGAAGGGGAGCAGTGGAAGGACGCAGTGCCATTTGGTGGGTGCCCAGAATCGCAGGAGGACGCGGACGCGGAACACGACGACTAGTGCGAGCAGTGCGAACAGGCAACGCAGGACGAGACGCAGGCGCACGACGCTCAGCAAGACCTCCAGTAGGACCAGTGTAAGGAGAAGGAGCAAGTAGAGGGGAGGCGGGCTGTAACTGTGACTGCGACTGGACAGGCTGTGGACACTCTAAAGGAGGAGCAGGACTAGTAGAAGGCGGGAGACCAAGAACATGCTCAAGGAGCGGAACGAAGTACAGTCGCGGTCGCGCAGCGCCTCCAGAACCTGCAGGGACAGCACCAGTACCACCAGCAGCAGCACCAGCGCCAGGAGCACCTCCAGCTCCAACAGCGCCAACTTGAGCACCCTCAGACGCACCAGCGCCAACAGAACCACCAGCGCCAACACCCCCAGCAGCTCCAGCTCCAGCAACTCCAGCAGCACCAACTCCAGCAGGACCGACAGCTCCAGTACCGCCAGCAGCTCAAGCAGGATCAACTTCAGCAGCCCCAGCAGCACCCCCAGGCCCAGCAGCTCCAGCACCGCCAGTACGAGCACCTCCGGGTGTTAGAACATTATAGCTTATACATTTGTGTAGGTTGTAGTGGGGTAGCCTATAAGGGGTACAACTTAATTAGGGTTAGTACTTGTACCCAACTGTTTCATAGTTCATTCATCCATTCTCACTTCTCGTCATTGTATCGAGCAGGTTCCCGAGTGGGAATACTGCCTAGGGCCCACCACGAACTTTTTTTTCCTTCCCTGCCTGGAGCGCGCTTCGCTCCTCACCCGAGTAGCGCCTCGAGCCGCCCTTACGGCCCCTTTGCACCGCCTTCTACGGCCCCTTGCGCCGCTCTTACGGCCCCTTACGGCCCCGTCTGGCCCCTTACGGCCCTGCTTAGGCCCCTTACGGCCCCGTCGCGACCTCGCCTAGGCCCCTTATGGCCCCGTCGCGGCCCCGCCTAGTCCCCTCCGCGGCCCCGTCGTGCCCCTTAAGGCCTCGCCTAGGCCCCTTACAGCCCCTTCGTGGCCTTGCCTAGGCCCCTTACGGCCCCTCCGCGGCCCCGCCTAGGCCCCGTCTGGCCCCTTACGGCCTCGCCTAGGCCCCTTACGGCCCCTCCGCGGCCCCGCCTAGGCTCCCCTCTGCGGCCCCGTCTGGCCCCTTACGGCCCCCTTTGCGGCCCCGCCTAGGCCCCTCTGCGACCCCGTCTGGCCCCCTTTACGGCCCCGTTTGGCCCCTTACGGCCCCTTTGCGGCCCCGCCTAGGCCCCTCCGTGGCCCCGTCTGGCCCCTTACGGCCCCTTTGCGGCCCCGCCTAGGCCCCTCCGCGGCCCTGTCTGGCCCCTCAGGGCTCCTCCGCGGCCCCGCCTAGACCCCTCAACCGCCCCGCCTGGCCCCTTTACAGCCCCGCTACGGCCCCTTTGCGGCCCCGTCGCCACCTGCGGCCCCGGCGCCACCTCCGGCCCCGTCGCCACCTGCGGCCCCGCCGACACCTGCGGCCCCGCCGCCACCTACGGCCCCGTCGCCACCTGCGGCCCCGCCGCCACCTGCGGCCCCGCCGCCACCTGCGGCCCCGCCACCACGTGCGGCCTCGCCGCCACCTACGGCCCCGCTGCCCAGCGCCCGCGCCGCCGAGCAGCCGAACCGCCGGCCAGCTGAGCCGCCCGACCACCGAGCCGCCCAGCAGCCGAGCCGCCCGACCCCCGAGCCGCCCAGCAGCCGAGCCGCCCGACCGCCGAGCCGCCCAGCACCGAGCAGCCGAGCCGCCCGACCGCCGAGCCGCCGAGCCGCCCGATCGCCCCACTTGCCTGGTAAGCGCATAGTCTCTGCCACTGCACTGCCCTGCCCTACTGTACTCACTGCCTGCCTACTGCTGTTATGGCCTCTCCTAGCGTTCTCACCTTTGACGCTGAGGGTCGGGCAGTGGACTTTGAGGTCTGGGTAGATGATCTGCAGCTTTTCCTGCAGTGCGATAGGGCAGACGGCCTCTCCCTGTTTGACCTCACTTCTGGTGCCTCCCCTGCCCTTGCTGCTGATGCTGACGCCACTATTCGCTCACAGTGGGCCACGCGTGATGCTGCTACTCGCCTTGTTGTGCGCCGCCACTTACCGACCACTGAGCGTGCACACTTTAGCCAGTACAAGAGTGCTCATACCTTGTACGACGCTGTAGTTGCACGCTACTCTTCCCCTGCCACTGCTGCACTGAGCCGCCTCATGCTACCGTACCTCTTCCCTGACCTTGCTGCCTTTCCCACTGTTGTTGACCTCATTACGCACCTCCGCACTAGTGACATTCGCTACTGCGCTGCGCTTCCTGCTGAGTTCTGTGCCAAGAACCCCCCCCCCCATGTACATCACCCTCTACTACATAGTCACCCGGCTCCCTGACTCTCTTCGAGTAGTCAGGGACCACTTCCTCTCTGTTTGCCCCACCACTCTCACCGTTGACCTCCTCGAGAAGGCCCTCCTAGCGATAGAGAAGAGCATAGTCGATGTAGGAGCCTTTCGTGGTGACCCTCGCACCCCCGTCTTTGAGGGGTGTTCTCCCTCCCCCCTCTTGCCCTCTGTTGCCTCTACTGCTGCGGCCGACCTCGTTGGTTTCGAGTCGGTCGGCGTTGCGTCTGCCCCGAGCGGGAGACGCCGCACCGGCAAGGGCAAGGGTGGCAAGGGCACTGGAGGGGCTGAAGGGAGCGGTGGAGGTGGTGGTGGAGGCGGTGAAGGGAGTGGGGGTGGTGGTATGAGTGGTGCTGGGGGTGGCGGCGGCGGCGGCAGCAGTGGAGGCGGCGGAGGCGGTGGAGGTGGCCGAGGGAGCAGAGGCGGCGCAGGTAGTGGAGGAGGCGGAGGTGGAGGAGGCGGCGGAGGCGTCGGCGGCGGCGGAGGCGGCGGTGGTGGAGCGAGTCGCGACTCTGCGCAGCGGAGTGGCGCCGGTGGTGGTTAGCGCCAGCAGCAGCACCGGAGTGGTGTGACCCTGTCCCCTCAGCAGCTTCGTGAGTGGTACACTGCGCGTCAGCGCGGTGGGGGTTCTGGTCCCTGCACTTACGTCCTCCGTACCAGCGACCGAGCTGGTGAGCAGTGCGGAGGCCCGCACTCCACCCAGCGCTGCTTTGGTCGCCTGACGGACGCGTGGCGTCGCCAGTTCCATGAGGCGTCAGAGATCCCTCGCTGGGGAATCTGGCTAAGGCCGGGGTTGCTATCTTTGCTGCCATGTATGCAGTTGATACTAGTCTTGCTGGTGACTGTTACCTATGTGTTCCTCCTGACCCGGGCATTGAGGCTGCTGCTCTAGGTGCTGGTGAGGCTGCTGCTCTAGGTACTAGTGCGTCTGCTGCCCCAGGTGCCAGTGCGTCTGCCGCCCCAGGTGCTGGTGAGTTTGCTCTCTCAGGAACTACGCCGGCTCAGGCCATCCACACCTTCACCCTTGACTCGGGTGCGTTCCGCTCCTTCTTTCGAGACCGCACCACTCTTACGCCGCTCAGTCCGCCGGTTGCAGTCTCCCTGGCAGATCCCTCTGGGGGTCCTGTCCTTGCTAGCTTCTCCACTGTCCTTCCGTGCCCGGCAGCCCCCTCTGGCACTATGTCTGGTCTCTACCTCCCCTCGTTCTCTACGAACTTGGTGAGTGGAGCGGACCTACAGGATAGGGGGGTTGACCAGTTCACTCCTGCGAGTCAGCGAGTGACCCACAGCACGTGTCCTCTGACAGGCCGACACTTGGCCACGTTCACCCGTCGACCAGGGTCGAGCGTGTACACCCTTACTACTGAGTCTCCTCCTACTGCTGAGTCTGCCCAAGTAGCTGCGTCAAGTCAGGTGTTTGCTGCGGCGTCCAGGTCTGGTCCTGAGTCTGCCCCCTGCTCCTGTGGTCTGCTGTCCCACTAGACTCTCCTTTGGCACCACCGCCTTGGTCACCCCTCCTTGCCTCGTCTTCGAGGCATGGCCTCCCGTGTCCTTGTCTCTGGTCTCCCTCAGTCTCTCCCTCCCCTTCCTCCGGGGCCTGGCCCTACCTGCGTCCCCTGCGTCGAGGGGCGACAGCGCGCCGCCCCTCACTCCTCCGAGTTTCCTCCGACAGAGGCTCCGCTGCAAACTCTCCACATGGACGTGTGGGGCCCAGCCCGCGTCAGTGGGCAGGGGCGAGAGCAGTAATTTCTACTGGTCGTTGACGACTACTCGCGTTACACCACAGTCTTCCCCTTAAGCAGCAAGGGTGACGTCACTGGGTGTTGATCGACTGGATCCGCGCAGCTCGTCTCCAGCTTAGAGAGAGTTTCGGCTCGGACTTTCCTGTTCTGCGTCTGCACTCGGACAGAGGCAGGGAGTTTTCCTCTGCCCGTCTGGGAGCCTTTTGTCGTGCACAGGGCATCCGCCAGACCTTCACGCTTCCGGCCTCTCCACAGCAAAATGGGATTGCTGAGCGCCGCATTGGCATGGTCATGGACGTCGCTCGTACGTCCATGATGCATGCGGCTGCCCCCCATTTTCTATGGCCGTTTGCGGTTCAGTACGCCGCGCATCAGCTCAACCTTCAGCCCCGGGTCTCCTTGCCAGAGACCTCCCCCGCCTTGCGGTGGACAGGTTAGGTTGGCGATGCGTCTGGCTTTCGGGTCTGGGGATCTCGGGCGTTTGTCCGCGACTTGTCTGCGGACAAGCTGTCCCCCCGTGCTGTTCCCTGCGTCTTCCTTGGCTTCCCCCCTGACACTCCTGGGTGGCAGTTTTACCACCCCACCTCGCGCCGTGTTCTGTCCTCCCAGGACGTCACCTTTGACGAGTCGGTGCCTTACGACCGTCTCTTCCCCTACCACACTGCGCCCCCCCCCCCCCCCCCCGCCGCCGCTCTTCCTTGCGCCGGGTCCTCCCCAGTTTGACCCCCTTCCCCCTCAGGATCCTGACCCGTCAGGTGTGTCCCAGGTAGACGCACTCGAGCCTGTCGAGGTGGCTGGTGACTCTGGTACTGCTAGAGGTGCTGAGCCTGCGGGTGCCGGGTCAGGGGGTGCTGAGTCTGGGGGTGCTGAGACTAGGGGTGCTGAGCCTGGGGGTGCTGAGTCTAGGGGTGCTGAGCCAGGGGGTGCTGATCCATGGGGTGCGGAGCGTAGGGGTGTGGAGCCTAGGGGTGCTGGGTCTGCTCGTGTGGCCGCCGGCGGTACTTCGTCGAGGCGGGAGCCGCTCTCTCCACAGGAGCTGCGCGAGTGGTTCGCCTGCCGCTGGAGACGTGCTGTTGAGTCTGGGGGTGCTGCTGAAGCTACTGGAGGTGGTCCTACTGGAGCTGCTGTCGGTGCTGGTGCTGCTGGAGGTGGAGCTACTGGGGGTGTTGGCGCTGGTGTTTCTACTGGTGCTGGTGCGTCTGGGGGTGCTGCTGAGGCTACTGGTGCTGACGGTCCTACTGGAGTTGGTGCAGCTGGAGCTGGAGCTGCTGGGGGTGTTGGCGCTGGCGGTGCTGCTGGCGCTGCTGCTTCTGAGGGTGCTAGAGTTGGCGCTGTTGAAGTTGGAGGTGCTGCTGGCGCTGGTGCTGCCGCAGGGGGTACTGGTGCCGTCCTTGCTGGTTCTAGAGGCGCTGAGCGGCCGAGGCCGTACGTCGTTTCGCTCCTGGAGCGGGTTCTTGGTCTCCCGCCCTCTCCTGGTCCTGCTCCTTCCTTAGAGTGTCCATAGCCAATCCAGTCGCAGTCACAGTTCCAGCCCGCCTCCCCTCTACTTGCTCCTTCTCCCTACACTGGTCCTACTGGAGGTCTTGCTGAGCGTCGTGAGCCTGCGTCTCGTCCTGCGTCGCCTGTTCGTGCTGCTCGCACTAGTCGTCGTGCTCCGCGTCCGCGTCCTCCTGCGGTTCCCTTCACACACCAGATGGCACTGCGTCCTTCCACTGCTCCTCTGCGTGTCCCGTTGCCGTCTCCTCCACAATCCTCTCTTCCTTCTCTTGCTGACCCGGAGTCTGACTCCCTTCGTGCTGCTAGTCCTTCGCTCACACGCCTTCTTGCTACTGTTGTCACTGACCCTTCCTTTGAGTCCACTGCTGCGTCTGCCCTAGTTCCTGAGCTTGTCGACTTCGCTGCTCACTGTCGTCTAGACTACGCTGCTAGTCTCGTTGCTGAGTCTGAGTCTGTCTGTCTTGCGTCCGTCAGGGATGAGTGTGCTCTTAGCACGGACGTCCTTGAGGACAGGCACGAGGAGTTCCAGTGCTTTGCGGCTGCTTTGCCCCATCTCGTGTCCACGCTGATTGCCCCTAAGGGAGACCCGCATGCATCAGACATCCCGACTCCTTGATCGTACGCTGAGGCGATCTAGGGTCCCTACTCCCTACGCAGTCCACAGGCACCTACGTCGACGAGGTTCCTGGAAGTCCACAGGCACCTACGTCGACGAGGTTCCCCCACCTGGGGCGAACATCGTCAGTGGCATGTGGATTTTCAGGGTGAAGCGGCCGCCGGGTTCTCCACCAGTCTTCAAGGCGCGTTATGTGGCTCGAGGCTTCAGTCAGCCGCAGGGAGTTGACTACTTTCAGACCTTCTCTCCCACCCCGAAGATGACCACTCTTCGGGTGCTGCTGCACATAGCCGCTCAGCGCGACTACGAGCTTCACTCTCTTGACTTCAGCACAGCTTTCCTGCACGGCAGCCTGCACGAGGAGATCTGGCTGCGCTGCCCTCCTAGCTTAAATGGGTCGTTTCCTCCTGGTACCCAGTGTAGCCTCTGGCGGCCAGTCTACGGTCTCCGCCAGGCGCCCCATGAGTGGCACGACACACTGAGGGCTACACTTGCGGCTCTTGGGTTTGCTCCTTCTATTGCCGACCCGTCGCTGATTCTGCGCACCAACACCTCTTTGCCGCCGTTCTACATCCTCGTGTACGTCGACGACTTGGTCTTTGCCACTGCTGACACTGCTGGACTCGCCCACGTGAAGTCCGAGCTGCAGAAGAGACACACGTGCACAAACCTGGGTGAACTGCGCAGCTACCTTGGCTTGCAGATCACCTGGGACAGAGCACAGCGCACCATTACCCTGACTCAGTCACACATGGTGCAGCAGGTCCTTCAGCGCTTTGGCTTCGCGTACTCCTCGCCTCAGGCCACTCCTCTGTCTACTCGCCACTCGCTCTCAGCTCTGCCTTCGGATGAGTCCGATAGAGTCAAGTGGCCCGTACCCAGAGCTTGTTGGCTGCCTCATGTACCTAATGACCTGCACACGACCTGACCTTGCATACCCTCTTAGCATCTTGGCACGCTATGTTGCTCCTGGGAGACATAGACCAGAGCACATGGCTGCAGCGAAGAGGGTGTTGCGCTACTAGTGTAGTACGTCGAGCATGGGGCTAGTGCTTGGAGGGCGACGTCGAGTAGTCCTCACAGGTCACGCAGACGCTTCTTGGGCTGACGACCAGGCTCTGCAGCGGTCGTCACAGGGTTACACCTTCAGCCTTGGCTCCAACTCTGTTTCGTGGCGGTCTACCCGCTCGTCTTCTGTTCTCGGCTCCAGCTGTGAGGCTGAGATCTACGCAGGGGCCATGGCTGCACAGGAGCTACGCTGGCTCACCTACCTGCTGACTGACCTAGGAGAGCCGCCTCGTTCTCCTCGAGTTCTGTACGTAGACAACAAGGCCATGCTGGCCTTGTGTCGGGAGCACAGACTGGAGCACAGAACGAAGCACATTGCTTTCCGCTGCTTCCTGGCTAGTGAGCTGCAGCAGTGTGGTCAGCTCTGCCTCACCTACGTGGCCTCTGAGGTCAACACTGCTGATAGCGTCACCAAGGCCCTTCCGCCTTGTGATCATCAGCGCTTCTGTACTTTGCTAGGTCTTGTGCCCACCTGGCCTCACTTGCTGAATTCTTGATCTTGTTTGTAGTGTCCTCTTTCTATACCTGCACTTGCTTGTTTACCTTCATATATATGATCTTGCATGTGAACTGGCCTAGTGGCCTTTCTCTTGTGCTCGGACTGTGTGGTGACTTTGTGATCCACCCTTAGCTTGCTTTGCTTTGCTTGACTGGTCTTGTGACCGCTTGTTCTCCCCCACTTTGCCTATGGGGGTGTGTCAGAGCATTATAGCTTATACATAAAGGGTACAACCTAATTAGGGTTAGTACTTGTACCCAAATGTTTCATAGTTCATTCATCCATTCTCACTTCTCGTCACCGGGACCAGTAGCAACAGTAGTACCTCCAGCTCCAATAGCACGGCTCTAGCGCCGGGCAAACCACTCGCGCAGCTCCTACGGAGAGAGTGGCTCCCGCCTCGACGAAGCACCGCCTGCGGCCACACGAGCAGACCCAGCGTCCCCAGGCTACGCACCCCCACGCTCCGCACCCCCAGGCTCAGCACCTCCAGACTCATCACCCTCAGACTCAGCACCCCCAGTCTCAGCACCCCCAGGCTCAGCACCCCCAGACCCGGCACCCGCAGGCTCAGCACCTCTAGCAGCAGCTGAGTCAACAGCTACCTCGACAGGCTCGATTGCATCTACTTGCGACACACCTGACGGGGCAGGACCCTGAGGGGGGAGGGGGTCTACCGGGTGAGGACCTGGTGCAAGGAAGAGCGGCGGCGGGGGAAGGGGCGCGGCGCGGTAGGGGAAGAGACAGTAGTAAGGCACTGACTCGTCAAAGGTGACGTCCTGGGAGGACAGAACACGGCGCAAGGTGGGGTGGTAAAACTGCCAACCAGGTGCGTCAGGGGGGAAGCCAAGATAGACACAGGGAACAGCACGGGGGGACAGCTTGTCTGTAGACAAGTCGCGGACAAACGCCCGAGATCCCGAGACCCGAAACGCAGACGCATTGCCAACCTTCCCCGTCCACCGCAAGGTGGGGTGGTCTCTGGCAAGGAGACTGGTAGTTGAAGGTTGAGCTGATGCGCCGCGTACTGAACCGCAAACGGCCACAGAAAATGGGGGGCAGCCGCATGGATCATGGACGTACGAGCGACGTCCATGACCATACAAATGCGGCGCTCAGCAATCCCATTTTGCTGTGGAGAGGCCGGAAGCGTGAAGGTCTGGCGGATGCCCTGTGCACGTCAGAAGGCTCCCAGACGGGCAGAGGAAAACTCCCCGCCTCTGTCAAAGTGTAGACGCAGAACAGAAAAGTCCGAGCCGAAACTCTCTCTGAGATGGAGACGAGCTGCGCGGATCCAGTCGATCAACACCTCAGTGACGGCGCCCTTGCTGCGCAAGGGGAAGACTGTGGTGTAACGCGAGTAGTCGTCAACCACCAACAGGAAGTAACGCTCGTGCCCCTGGCCACGGACGCGGGCGGGGCCCCACACGTCCATGTGAAGAGTCTACAACGGAGCCTGTGTCGGAGGAAACTCGGAGGAGTGAGGGGCGGCGCGCTGTCGCCCCTCAACGCAGGGGACACAGGTAGGGGCAGTCTCCGGAGGTAGAGGAGGGAGAGACCGGGGGAGACCAGAGACAAGGACACGGGAGGCCATGCCTCGGAGACGAGGTAGAGAGGGCTGACCAAGGCGGTGGTGGCAAAGGAGAGTCTGGTGAGACAGGAGACGACACGAGCAGGGAGCCGACTCAGGACTAGACCTGGACGCTGCAGCAAACACCTGACTCGACGCAGCGACCTGACCAGGTTCAGCAGCCAGAGGAGACTTAGTAGTGAGGGTGTACAGGCTCGACCCCGGTCGACGGGTGCACGTGGCCATCTGTCGACCTGTCCGAGCACACGTGCAGTGGGTCACCCGCTGACTCGCAGGAGTGAACTGGTCAACCCCCCTATCCTGTAGATCAGCGCCACTCACCAAGTTCGTAGAGAACGAGGGGAGGTAGAGACCTGACAGGGTGCTAGAGGGGGCTGCCGGACACGGTAAGACAGTGGAGAAGCTAGCAAGGACAGGACCCCTAGAGGGGTCCGCCAGGGAGACCGCAACCGGCCGACTAAGCGGCCTAAGTGTGGTGCGGTCCCGAAAGAAGGAGCGGGAAGCACCCGAGTCAAGGGTGAAGGTGTGTAAGGCCTGAGCTGACGTGGTACCTGAGAGGGCAGACTCATTAGCACCTAGGGCAGTAGACGTGCTAGCACCTAGAGCAGTAGCCTCTTCAGCACCTAGAGCAGCAGGCTCAATGCGCGGGTCAGGCGGAACACGCAGGTAATAGTCACCCTCAACACTATCAGCAACAGCATACATGGCAGCAAGAATAGCATCAACATCAAGATCAAAGATAGCAAACCCCGCCCTAGACAGCTCTCCCCAGCGAGGTATCTCAAAGGCCTCAAGGAACTGGTAACGCCACGTGTCCGTAAGGCGGCCGAAGTAGCGCTGGGTGGAGTGCGGGCCCCTGCATTGCTCACCAGCGCGGTCGCCGGTGCGGAGAACGTAGGTGCACGGACCCGTACCCCCACCGCGCTGACGCGCAGCGTACCACTCACGAAGGTGCTGAGGGGACAAGGTCTCACGACTGCGCTGCTGCTGCTGGCGCGTACCACCACCGGAGCCACTCCTCTGCGCAGAGTTGCGACCAGGTCCACTGCTGCCGCCGCCGCCTCCGCCGCCTCCACGACCTCCGCCGCCTCCGCTCCCTCCGCCACCGCCGCCGCCTCCTCCGCCTCCACTACTGCCACCGACACCTCCACCCTCGCCACCACTCCCACCACCACCCCCACCCCCTCCACTGCCTCCACCGCCACCTCCACCGCCCTTGCCAGCCCTTCCAGTGCCCTTGCCCCCCTTGCCCTTGCCGGTGCGGCGTCTCTCGCTTGGGGCAGACGCAGCGCCGACCGACTCGAAACCAACGAGGTCGGCCGCAGCAGCAGAGGCAATAGAGGGCAAGAGGGGGGAGGGGGAACACCCCTCAAAGACGGGGGTGCGAGGGTCACCACGAGAGGCTCCTACATCGACTATGCTCTATCCTGCTGCTAGGAGGGCCTTCTCGAGGAGTTCAACGGTGAGAGTGGTGGGGCAAACAGAGAGGAAGTGGTCCCTGACTACGTGGAGAGAGTCAGGGAGCTGGGTGACTATGTAGTAGAGGGTGATGTACATGGGGAGGGGGGGGGTTCTTGGCGCAGAACTCAGTAGGAAGCGCAGCGCGGTAGCGAGTGTCACTAGTGCGGAGGTGCGTAATGAGGTCAGCGACAGTGGGAAAGGCAGCAAGGTCAGGGAAGAGGTACGGTAGCATGAGGCGGCTCAGTGCAGCAGTGGTAGTGGAAGAGTAGCGTGCAACTATAGCGTCGTACAAGGTCTGAGCACTCTTGTACTGGCTAAAGTGTGCACGCTCAGTGGTCGGTAAGTGGCGACGCACAGCAAGGCCAGCAGCAGCATCGCGTGTGGCCCACTGTGAGCAAGCAGTGCTATCAGCAGTAGCAGGCGGGTCACGAGAGGCACCAGAGGTGAGATCAAACAGAGAGAGTACGTCTGCCCTATCGCACTAGAGAAACAGCTGGAGGTCATCGACCCAGACCTCAAAGTCAACGCCACGGCCCTCAGTATCAAAAGTAAGGACACTGAGGGTAGCCATAACTGCAGTGGCCTAGTAGGGAGTGAGCTCACCAGTTCGAGGAAGGAGGGCCGGGGCGCACCGGTAGGAACAGCAGCGGCTCGACAGTAGGGCGGCTCGGCGGCAGGGCGGCTCGGCTGCTGGGCGGCTCGGGTGGTGGGCGGCTCGGCGGCTCGGCTGCTGGGCGGCTCGGCAGCTGGGCGGCTCGGCTACTGGGCGGCTTGGCGGCTTGGCGGCTCGGGTGTTGGGCGGCTCGGCTGCTCGGCGGCTCGGCTGCTGGGCGGCTCGGCTGCTCGGCAGGTGGGCGGCTTGGCTGCTGGGCTGCTCGGCGGCTCGGTCGCTGGGCGGCTGAGCGGTGACAGGGCCGCTGGGGGAGGGCGACGGGGCCGCAGGTGACAGCAACGGGGCCGCAGGTGGCGGCGACGGGGCCGCAGGTTGCGGCGACGGGGCCGCAGGTGGCGGCGGGGCTGCAGGTGGCAGTTGCGTGGCCGTAGGTGGCGGCGACGGGGCCGCAGGGGGCGGCGACGGGGCCGCAGGTGGCGGCGACGGGGCCGCAGGTGGCGGCGACGGGGCCGCAGGTGACGGCGACGAGGCCGCAGGTGGCGGCGACGGGGCCGCAGGTAGCGGCGACGGGGTCTCAGAGGGGCCGCAGAGGGGCCTAGACGGGGCCGCAAAGGGGTCACAAGGGGCCTAGACGGGGCTGAAGAGGCGCCGCAAGGGGCCTAAACGGGGCGGCGGCGGGGCCGTAAGGGGCCGGAAAGGGCGCTGCGGGGTGCCAAAAGGAGGGCCGCGCGAGGGCCGTAAGGGCAGCGTAAGGGGCCGTAAGGGGCTGTAAGGGCGGCGCGAGGGGCCGTAGAGGGCGGCGCGAGGGGCCGTAGGGGCGGCGTAAGAGACCGTGAGAGGGGCCACTAAGGGCAGCGCGAAGGTAGGGAGGGCACACAGAGCGCGACTCGGGCAGGAGTGAAGCGCGCTCCGGGCAGGAAAAAAAAAATCGTGGTGGGCCCTAGGTAGCGTTCCCACTAGGGAACCTGCTCGATACCATGATAAGAAACGAGGAATGAATGCATTGAGCAGAATGAGGAGTACAAGTAGTAAACCCTAAAGTATTGTCCCCTATATGAACTGCCCCACTACTGCCTGCACAGACTATAGCATATATGCCTGACAAGGAAGGGTCAGTGACAGCAGTGTCAAAACATTATAGCTTATACATTTGTGTAGGCTGTAGTGGGATAGCCCATAAGGGGTACAACCCAATTAGGGTTAGTACTTGTACCCAACTGTTTCATAGTTCATTCATTCCATTCTCACTTCTCGTCATGGTATCGAGCAGGTTCCCGAATGGGAATACTGCCTAGGGCCCACCACGAACTTTTTTTTTCCTTCCCTGCCCGGA